TAATGCCTGAGAGAAATGGAGACGGATTTACCACCTTCTAAGAGCTTACAAATTTTTTAAAAATAGGTTTCAACTAAACACAGGACAAATTCTGCCTAAAATACTCTGCCTATGTTAATGTCCAGCTTCTATCAGAAATCCTCTTTCAGGACTTGAAAAGTGGGGTGGGAATCCTCTTTTTGGTTTATAATGTGATGCTTTTGTTTTCATTGTTTCAAGTCTCTCAAGACAGACAGCATAGCATAAGAACCTGCCTCTCTGTTCCCTAGTTGTGCCCTCAGGCACATGCATCTGCCTTGGTTCTGCTTCCGCTGGCTCTCATAGACACTTAATGGCCTGCCTACCTCAATGGATTCCCAGCCTTGTGACCTCAATGGATTCCCAGCCTTGAAAGAGAGTAGAGGCAGGACAGTGAGGAAGCTCACGTGAGAACCTAGAGGAGCAAGTCAGGAGCCCAAAGTACCTGTCCAACACTGGGCCCCAGCCCTTCTCATTGCAAGAAAGTAGGGCCCTGTATCCCTAAAATGGATAGAGGAAACTGAAGCGCAGTCCCTCTCCCTCCATGAGGGGAATCTCCTCTGGTGGAAGGATACTGGGAACAAGGGGAGGAGAAGCATCTGAATGCTGAGAAAAGATGTTGGGAACTTTATGCATCTGACAATCACTGTGCTCAAAGGTCATCTCTGGCAAATGTACAGGGGAGGCAGGAGAGGTCTTTAATGTCTGTCAAGTGTCCCTCCCTCATACCTTATACCTTGTACCCAGGACTTCTGCTCAGACCTAAGCAGAGTTCCCAAATTCCTGCTCTCACCTTTGTGAATTCCCCAAATTGGAGTGCAAAAGTGAGCTCACAGCTGTGCCTTGCAATATCAGGACCCCGAAGCCGGAGACTGGGAATCTGATACAGGAGGATGGAAGAAGCTGAAATTTGAAGGAGATAGATATGTGTGTTGTGGGTGAGGGAATGCAGAGGTTTATAGCTGAAGTCCACAAATACAACACTGGGACCAGAAAGTAGTCTATCACATTATCACATATTCTCCTTCTCTGACTATAAACTCTTACTCACTCCCACCAAGCCTGTTCTCCAACTTAGTATCTTCTCTCCTCAGTAACACCAACTGCCTGCCTTTCTCCCAGTCCCCATGATTTAATCAGTCTTTAGTCTAATCAAAAGAAGTTGCTTGAAAGAGTATAACCTGAGGAGCCACAGACAAGATTGGGTGTTATTAATTATTAATATGCAAATATTCTATAATCAACATATAAGTGTTCCAAAGTGAACATGGGGAATTGATATAGTTTGGATATGGGTCCCCATCCAAATCTCATGTTGAATTTTATTCCCCAGTGTTGGAGGTGGGGCCTGGTGGGAACTATTTGAATCCTGGGGACATATCCATCATGAATGGCTTAGCGCATCCCTTTGGTGATAAGTGAGCACTCACTCTGAGTTCTCACAAGATCTGGTTATTTAAGGTGTGTGGCACCACCCCCTCACTCTCTCTCTTGCTCCTGCTTTCTGTTATGTGACGTGCCTGCTCCCCCTTCCCCTTCAACATGGTTGGAAGCTTTCTAAGGCCTCCCCAGAAGCAGATGCTGCTATGCTTCCAGTACAGCCTGCAGAACTGTGAGCCAAATAAACCTCTTTTCTTATAAATTACCTAGTTTCAGGTATTTATTTATAGCAATGCAAGAATGGCCTAATATAAGAACTCAGTAGTTTCAAAACTTGCTTTAAAAAGTGCAACTTCAAGACCTCATAGCCTTTAACCCAGAAATTTTATTTCTGAAACTCGGTGCTAAGGAACTAATATTCAAAACACAACAAAGAGCATATGCACAAAGATGTTCATCATAGTGCTATTATTATCATCAATAATTGTTTATTATGATGTCATCAATAGTGACAATAAGGAACGATTAGGGAATACTACATCTACCAAATGGAAAATTATGTAGGCATTTTTAAGCCTGCTTTTAGGCACTTTAAACCTAGTATTAAGCCCAACTGTAATTAAATGAAAACTAAAGTTATAGAATTTTTAATTTTAAAATAATATAAAAGTAATATAGATACCATAATTAAAACTACACATGAAAAAAGTGGAAAGAAACATGTCAAAAATGAATAGTGAGTGTCTTTAGTTGGTGGGATTATGAGGGTGTTTTTTTCCTTTTTATATTCTTATAGTTTTCAAATTGTTCATAATTCTCTAATGGGGGTCAGAGCTAAAAGGCAAATTCCTTTGGAAAAGGAAAAATTGTACTTGCACAGAAAACTTTTTCCGAGTTTAGTTGACAATCCTTTTAGTACCCAGGAAACAGACCATTTCCTGGAAGGGGACTCGGGGCAAAGGATATGGAGAATGTAAGAAAGAGAAATGATTAACAGATCAGAAAGAGATCTCACTGTCTGACATTCAAGTTTCTTCAGGACCTTTCACCATGTATCCAAACAGTAGATGAGCACTTCTTAGCTGAACCTTTATTTGGCATTCTCTTTGCCTATCAGAATCCTCCCAATCTCTGAGACTGATTTAACTCACTTCAACGCATGAAGACTTTCCTGATCCTCTGATCATCAAAGGCTCTACTATTTCTCCTTTCTCTTAAGGTATTGTTACAGCAGTTAGGTCTGCAACACATTTTTCTGGTATTAAGCCAATTCTAAGTTATTTGTTAATTACTCATATGTAAGTAAAAATTTCCCCTGCCAGACTTTAAGTTCCTTGAAGTGTGGAATTTAGATGGTTTGCAGACTGTAGTCATTGGACAAACAGAGAGAGGAGAGAGAGCAGTTCTAAAGCCAAGTTGGTATTATATTCATACCCTCCGTGATGTCATCTAAGTAAAATGTGCTGCCTCTGTTTTAAAATGTTGCTGCTGACCATCCATCACCAGGACATGCACTTTCCTTTTTTTTTATTTTTTTTTTAATAGCAGAGGTATTATATTGTATTTCTGCTTATTCATTCGTATCAGTTCTGCTGTCCCCCTTAGGATTAAACAGACTGGACTGCAAGATTTTCAGGATATAGATTATAGCCATGTAAAGAGCAAAATGAAATGACCTTTTAGGAATCAAACTCAAGACTCTTCATAAGACCCCACTTCTAATACTCTTGTTTGAACAACAAATATAAATTTATGCCTCCATTTTATGTCCTTATTTAGGCAGTGGACTTTATCAATATCCCTATTAACTTGAAAAAGAATTCTCCAATGTAAATGGTTCAATACTTTAGAAATGACAAAGATGACTCTGTTCCTGCTACCATCAATACTATGTGAGTATTTAGAGATAATGAGCATCTGTACTATAGCAACCTGCCTCCTGAGACATAAACAAGAGATGCATTTCTTAAGAGAAACCCATAAGTCACTAATGAAAGCAAGTCAAAGAACCCATCAACAGGCAAAGAAAGACCTAGCATCCATTATTTTTACAGAAGCAGCATAGAAGGTCAATATAATTGTTGACTCTGAAGGGCAGGGTGACAACAAACTAATTCAGTTTCCCACTATATAAGAACTACATTTTACTACAACACTCATATTTCTGAACTAAGAATCAAGGCTTGTCCAAATTCCATGGCTTATTGAGCGGTCTTGAACCTTCTCTGAATTTTGTTCCTTAGTCTGTAAAATGAAGTTATCACCTGTTATGCAAAATCACAGAGTTGTAATGAATCAAATAACATTATCTTAGTATAGGTTCACCTGTCACCCTATTGTGGGGTGCAGTTCAGTGGCATACCTCATGAACTAATTGACTATTATAACTGTAAATGTCTCCCTAACATTTAAGAAAGAAAAAGATTTCCAGAGTTCTTACTTTTTTAATCGACATCTCCAACACTTGAGCATCCACCACATATCACTGCCAAAAATTTGCTGAACATCTCCTGTTATGACCTCACTCTCCTATGTAGTGTTGTTCACATATTTTTTGCCATATGCTTTCTAAGAAACTAGATTTTTTCACATGATTCAAACATCTTTCATATTGAAGGAGCAATAATTGCATATGCAGAAAGTTTACAGGTTGCTGTTGCTGTTGAGATTACTCCTCAATTAATTCTATGTTTAATATCTAATAGAGCGCATATATATGTATATATGTATATAATAGAGCATACACACACACACACACACACACACACGGACACACTTCATTAATACAGTGGAAAGTCCATGGACTATAGAGTCAGGAAAACCTGTATTCGAATTCCTGTTGTGACCTTGAGAATGCAATTTAACTTCCCTGCTCCTCAGTTTACACATTTGGTTCTGGATTATGATGACTTAATAAAATATGATATATAAAAGTAAGTGCCTAGGTTATGAAGGTACTATTTCCTACCTCTCATAAATCTTTTCTTTCTATGGCAGGTTCAATCAAACCCATCCAGAATACAAGACAACTTTCATAGGGTATCTTTCACATCAGTTGAGGGAACGCTGCGATGTGATAAAAGAGGATGATGGCATGAGTCAGGCATCCAATAGAGCAAGACATGTAAAAAGTGAGAGACATCTACAAGGGCCCTAGACTTCACTCGCATGTTTGAAAAGGGTATTAATCTGACACACTTTCAAGAATGCCCCGCGTACTCGCGGAGGCTTATACCAAAATGTGGGAAAACGACGGAATTACAGAATAAACCAGCAGGGAGCCTCCTCGTTCACCCAACCCGACCCCGCCCGCCCGAGTCTCCCATCTGGAGCCTAAAAACTGAGCTGAGATCACGGCAACTGACCCCGTCCCCTCCGCCCTCTCCCTCCCCCATTCTGCCCAAACCTCTCAGCGCACGAATGGTGCTGAATCATTTGCACGAACGCAGCAGCTCCCGGCTCCGCGGCTCCCAGCGGGGACGGTGTCCCCAGAGCAGTGACAGTCCGGGGATGGGGGCACAGAAAGAGGGGCGCGGTGGAGCCTTTGGGGACGTGGGGACATGGAAGGTGGTCGGGAGAGGATGGCGGCAGCAGGTACTCACCAGGGTGAGGAAAGCCCAGCCCGGGTCCTCGCGTCCCCGCTGCGGGGGGTCCCCCAGCTGTTCCCGCGTCTCGCGGCTTCCACGCAGGCGGCCGCCCGGACTCGGCAGCCTGCGCTGGTGGTCCGGTGCTCTCCTCCGCCCGCCCACCAGTGGCAGCCACGGCTCGGGACTCCGGTGCTCGACACGGAGCGCCTGGAACAGCTGTCGCTGCCCAAGCGGGTGGCGGCTACCGACGGGCCAGACCATTCGCCTGCTGCGGCCGGGGGTGCACGACGTTCCGAGAGGCGCGGGCGCCTGGGGCCGGCGATGGTTGGGAGGAACCGAGGACTCGGGGAATCCTCTGCCCCCTCGGAGTCAGGAGGTCTTGTATACAGGAGTAATCAACGAAGGGGCCGCTGCTTCTTCTGGGGGTTTACTGAAGACACTGTTCGAGCTTTCCCGCGCCACACCCCCCCTCCCCGTTTGCCTTGGTCCCGCTCGGGGCTCCTTTAGAACGCGGCAAACAGAGGACTTAGCAACGCGAGCGCCTGGGCGGCACCCCTCCTCAGAGATGCGAGAGGCGTTGGCCTCAGCGCCTCCTCCCACCTCTCGCTACCTCGCGGCCCCGAGGCGCCCAATCCTCCTGCCTGTCTGACCACAGACATCTTCCCACAAAACGTGGAGCTTCTTGAACCTTTGAAGAGAGTCTTCAGGTCTTTTATCTAAGCATCTTTGTGAAGCAAAGAATAAACGGGTATCTGAGGCCAGCTCGAAAGTTAGGAAATGAAATCAGGTGGGGCCCCATCCCGCAGGTGCTGAGGGACAGCTCGACCTAGAGTTCCTGCTAAGCAAGTGGTGAACCACGGCAGTTGTAAAAACTGTAGATTTAGAAATCCATTTCGAGATAAAGATTTACAAAAGATTATTGCAGAAATTAAAGAATATTTGAGGTTCACTGTTCACCATTTTAGAGTTGAGTGTCTTGAAAACGGGAAGGCAATCATGTCTTCTCATAAAATGAATTGTATAGAACTGGAAGGAGTCCCAACACATGAATTCCTTAGACTTTTGTGGTCCCTGCTTCTGTCACACCGGGCTCACACAGGTTCACTTCAGACCATGGCGAAGATCAGGACAAGTGTACAGTTTTCCCTGTAGAAAAAAAGAAGAGAACAGAATTGGCAACTACCTATAAAATGTGATTAAACGTAGAAAAAAAAAAAAAAAAAAAAGACCCTCCAAGTGCATCCAAATAAAATTTCATAATTTAAAGTTTTGTCCTTTATTGAGTAAATCAACATAAATTCAGCACTTTCTATAGACCACGGTACTGAGAATAGTCTCATTTTCATTTCTTCATTTATTCTTCTAAAAAATCCTGTGAGATTGGTAACCTGCAATAGACCTCCATAAAATCTTGCCAGCAATAGGAACTGATGTGCCCAGTGAGGGCATATTCTCATAAAAGACACTGGTGAGAAACTGGGCTCAGGGTTTGTCGTGCTGGGTTAAAGTCTCACGATCATAAGCTGCAGAGCAGACATTGCCACCTGGAGTTTTTGACTTGTTCCTTTCTCCTAGAATGCCTCTGGGAACGGTATACATTAAACCATGTCACATCTGATTGCAACTTGAATGTGAGTCTGTTTATTCTTCCTTTGTGAGAAGGGGTTTTAGAGTGGAGAGGGGGCAGTTAGGTGTCTAGGGTAGGCACCACCCTGAGGCAAAAAGAGTGATCAGAAAGAAGCTGGACTTCACACAGAACTAACCGAACATCAGTATCACAATACACTGTCAGGGTCACATGAGGGTGAAGAGGAATTCTCCACTGCCTTCTTGTTAATCATCTTTACATCATCATTTTCACTATATTACACTTTACTTTACACTACGCATACACTATTACCGTGTTACATGTTATCACTCTTCCATTCCCGGAAGGGTCAAGAATTTTTCAATGAACCTATTATCATGGATCCTCATATACCTTATCAAAAAAAATGTTTAAGTAACGGAGGTATTAGTAACACTTAACATCACCTCAAGAAAGCTTTTTGAGAAATCAGGAATAAAATTAAATTGTTTCCGTATGATATGACATTGCTATTATGTTAATGGTTGTTGTAAAGGTTCACACATCAGCACCAGCACAACAGAAATCCCCAAAGTTCCATGTTGCCAGGGAGCTGGAGCATTGGATCGCCAGTGACCAGACTGGCCTCAGGCTCAGAAATGTGTGATTCTTCTCTCCATGTGCAGTTGTTTCTCTTTCAAAGGCAACAACAGGAACAGAACACAGGTGGCTGAGGCGTCTTCTGAATTAGTGCTTTATGTCAGATGTCAGATGTCAGATGATAGGGATATAGAAAGGGATTTAGAACCTTATGATTTGTGGTCCTGATGGGCCTGTGACATCTGCAGCAATCTATTTGTATAAGTTGACATTCTTAGAACATACGTTTCTGAATGAAGAGAGGGGAATTTTTGTGCTGGCAGCCTTGGGAAATTGTCAAAAGAAGTGGAAGGAATGGTGTGATGCCTGCATTCCCTGCTTTCCTCAAAGTCCTCACATGGTTTTGAGCCTGCTGTGGAAAGAACTTAGGGTCAGAAGCTAAATAATCATCTTCCCCACAAATGACTTTGTGAAATTTAAGTTATAAGAAGTACTACTTTAGGCCTGGTGACAAAGGATAGCGCAGAGCTGGCAAGACAGTCATTCTCTCACCCAACCTGCAACAGACCTCCATACAGCCTTGCCAGCAATAGGAACTGATCTGCCCAGTGAGGCCACACTGGTGGCCAATACAGGGTCAAGGTAACTTAAGTAGGAGCCCAAAGCAGTAAAGCAGGAGTGTTATTACTCCTGAGCACCTGAAAGACACTGCTGAGGATTTCTTGCCCCAAATGACAGAGCCTAGGGAGGCAGTGCAGGGTCAAGGGAATGATTATTAAACTTAAGATGATTGTTAAACCTTATTTAGGCACCGATATTAACATAAACTCATTTGTATTCACAAACTAGCGTGATCTGGGAACATTCCAATATTACTTTTTAAATGATACTAATAAGAAGAGAGCTAGAGAGAAAGAGAATACTTAATGCCTTTGATAAAACTTCACTGTAAGCCACATAATGTTAAATCTTGATGCAAGATATTCAATTACCTGCTATGTGTTGGTCTCTTACTAAAGCATGTGGTGACATTAACCTCTCAACTTACTCTTGCTGAAGAGAGTGTTTAATCGTGTTGTTTCTGTTTGCATTTAGCTAACACTTATTAAACCATTAGTGTTTGAGTGAGTAACTAGTATTATGTGAAGTAAGTCGTATCATCACTCCCATTTTATAAATGAAGAAACTGAGAATTACAAGGGTGTATTAATTTGTGAAAGGTAGCACATCTGGAAAGAGACAAAGCTGGATTTCAAACTCTAACCAATACATGACAGGAGTATCAGCATACTTTTATTGTCTCCTGCTATGGAGAACAACATGTACATTGCATGTGTCTCTGCAGTAGAAAATCTATTTTTCATTTATTTTTAAAAACCTGTTTTCAACTCTCATTTCTAAGAGGAAATGAGTCATTTCCCACAGAAGATTTAAATGACAGTCTTCCCAGTGGAAACACTGGATACCCTTTTCTAGGTTTCTGTGCTCAGAAAAGAGACCCTGAATTTGAGAGTAAGTGAACCCTGTAGCATAAACTTGACCAGTGGTGCCTAAAATTCTTGCTACAAAATTATGATTGCAGGAACTCTTGCATGAGACTCTGGAAACTAGATCCTTAAGAAGTTCTGTAGGTCGTTCTAACATACAGCCAAGCTTGACCAGACCATACTGGACAAAAATAATATGGGGCCTACAAAAAAAAAAATTCAGCCTTCTAGACTTAACCCCTTACTCCCATCTTTTATTGAGAAGGAAATGAGAGGCTGGTATTTAAAACCTACTTTATGTAATTTTACATTTATCATATAAAATGCATTTATTAAAGGGCTTAGAATTTTTTCTCAGTGTTGTTTTGATCATTCTCAACAAATCTTCAAAGAGCCCCAAATTTAAAATGATACTCATTCAAAATTACTTTTATGTATAGATAGTAGACTTTAGGCCCTTTTTAATTGTTATATGGCATTTTATATAAGACAAAAAGCAGTATTGCGTTAGACTTTTTTATTAATTTTTGGAGAATTTACATAACAGTAAGTAATTTCATCCAAGAAGATAATAAGCTTTTCTAGTTTATATTTTTTCATTTCCCGGTCATATTTTTATAATTTTGCTTATATATGTTCTGTAACTTTCCTACCAAATTTATACCAAATTTTGTACAGCACTTGTATTCTGAATGCAATGTTCTTTCCATTTCCTTTTCTAGGGGCTTTTACCAGAACAGAGAGATGACTCTTTCTGTAATGTATTTTGTATTCATGCAGTGCACCAAATTATCTTATTACTTGTTTTTTCATGAGTCCTTTGGATTTTCTAAGAAAACAGGCATATCAGCAATATCAAGAACTTTGTTTCTGGCTGGGCACAATGGCTTATGCCTTAATCCCAGCACTTTGGAAGGCCGACGTGAAAGGGACACTTGACCCCAAGGAATTTGAGACCAGCCTGGGTGACATAAGGAGATCTGTCTCTACAAAAAATAAAAAATTAGCTGGGCATGGTGACGCCTGCTTACAGTCCCAGCTACTCAGCACGCCAATGTGGGAAGATCCCTTAGTCCAGGAGTTCAAGGCTGCAGTGAGCCTTGATCACGCCACTGTGCTCCACCCCGAGCAACAGAGTGAGACTGGTTATAAAATATATAAAAATATATATGTATATTATAATTTATACCAGTTATTTTATTTATATTTCTTAGAATCACTAATGTAAGTGACTGTGGTGATGCCTGATTCCAGATTTTAAGTGAAAGATTTAATTTTTGTGATTTAGGATGATGTTAGCTATTGGGCTTTCCTTTATTATATAAGAATTTTTTTCTGATTCTATTTTGCTTAGAGTCACTTGACTTTTATCTGATGCCTTTTCACAACTTGTTGATAATGGTTGGGCTTTTTTCCCTTTAATTTTTAATGTAATCAATATGTAACTAGACTTCCTGATATTGAACCGCCTTTTCATTCCTCTAATAAAGCCTATTTTTTCACGCCATGTTATTCTTGTGATTCATTCCTCTATTGTATTCTCTGTTATTTAAACATTTGGCGGCTATATTCAGAAATGAAATTAGCCTGTACTTTTAATTGTTGTTTTACTCCT